GGCCCCAGCCCCTGCACAAGGGCTGGGCCAGGCACCTGCTCCCCTCCTGCAAAGCCCAGCCCACAGCCTGCCAGGGGAGGGCTCCCCTGAGCCACAAGCAATAAACGGGCTGCCAAGCTCAGTGCCTGGGGCTGCCAGCTTCCTTCAACACCCTCGTGGGGCAGAGCACAGCAGCCCGGGCGAGCCAGCCGCAGGGGCACCGCCCCAGCCCCTGCACAAGGGCTGGGCCAGGCACCTGCTCCCCTCCTGCAAAGCCCAGCCCACAGCCTGCCAGGGGAGGGCTCCCCTGAGCCACAAGCAATAAACGGGCTGCCAAGCTCAGTGCCTGGGGCTGCCAGCTTCCTTCAACACCCTCGTGGGGCAGAGCACAGCAGCCCGGGCGAGCCAGCCGCAGGGGCACCTCCTGCAGGAAACCACAACTGGGGAGACAGCAATAGGGCAAGCGGGATTGTGCCCAGCAGCTGCACCAGGGGGTGCCCCTTGCCAAGGGCTAAGGAGGGACCATGGCTTAGGGCAACAGTACAATCCATTCCCCCCCTCCCTGAAGGGAGCACTCTCCCCCCTGCCCCGGGGCTCCCCGTGCTGGGCCTGAGCCAGTATTGCAGGAGCATGGGGACACACGCAGCTGTCACTCCGGCTGGGGAAGTTCAGAACCCCTGGAGCTGTACCGTCGCTGTACCGTGAGCCAAGTGTCCTTGTTTTCTATGTGGATATTGAACCTGATGTGCTGTTCCCATGGGTAGGGCGTTGTACGTGGCTTCCTTTCTACATCCAGCTCCGGCCCCACCCCCAGCTTCAGGTGCAAAACAGCTTCCCACCGGTGGAATTTTTATGTAGAATAAACATTTGTAACCACAAAGCAGAGCAGTGGCCGCATCACTCCCTTGCCCGGGAGGGGAGGGACAAAGAGGAGGCACCTTTGGCAGGCGGCAGCTCCAGGAATTTCCCTTGGCTCAGTGAGGGATGGGCCCCCCACCTCTAGCTGCCAACCCAGCAGCGCTGCAGCAGCAGTCCCTAGCGGGCTCCTGGCGCACACAGCCCTGCGCACACAAATACCCTGGCGGGGGGAGGGGGGACCCACCAGCCCTTGCTGTGCACAAAGGCCCCTGGCTGGAGAGAGGACTGCCCTGCCCGGCCCAAGGGCCATTTTCCGTGTAGGCTGGGTACTGGGGCAGGCTGCACACCAGCGTCTCTGGCCCCTCCCCTTGGCTTGGCGTCAGCACCGGCCCCGAAGAACAGAGGCAGGGAGTCTGTCCCCAGCCAGCGTCTCCAGGCGCGTCCAATGGGATTGGAGACAGCTCTGCCTTCCACTGCGACCCGCTCTGGCCAGGCGGCGCTGCAAGGACGCTCCCCAGAGGTGTCATGCCTTCCCCGGAGCTGCCTGGAAGCACAGGTCAGAAGCGAGGCCGCCGCCTGCGGCCGGTGTATCTCGTGTCCGCCCTCACATCCCTGCAGAGCAAGGCACAGAACAGAGCGCACTGGAGGGAGGAATGAGGCTGAGGGCGAATCAGGCCACAAGTAGGGAGGGCTGGAGCATTGAACAGGCTGCGGCCACGCCACCCAGGGCAGGTCATGACAGGAATGTTACCAGCCATGGTCTGCAGGGGAGCCCCAGGCGGTGGGTTAAGCCCAGACTCTGCCCCCCGCCAAGGGAGGCACCATGGTACCTACTTGCCCTGCCGCCGCCTCCGCTCCTTCTTCTCCAAGACCCAGTCGCGGCTTTTCTTCACAGACTTGCCCTTGGCATTTCTGAACCGCGTTCTGCGGAGAAACACGCACAGCGGTGCTGGAGGGTCAGGCAATCGCTGCCTCTGGGGGGCGCGGACTCAGTCCCTAGGGCACAGCAGCGAGCACTGGCCAGGCGCGAGCAGCGGTGTGAGCGAGCAGCACTGGGAAAGCAGGACGCAGAGGTAGGCCAGGAAAATCCCGCCAAGCCCTCAGCTGCAGCAGCCCTGGCCCAGCAGCACCGGGGGGGAGACAGGCAGGCCTCAGCCCCACCTCAGCAGCAAGAGCGCACCCCTGGGCTGAGATCCCGCCAGGCCCCATCTTTACTGAGCTGCCTACACTGACAGCCAGCTGGGGTCTCGGTGGGGGACAGCCCCCATCAGGGACAGGCAGCAGCAGGTGGCCAGGAAGCTGCCTCAATGGTAGGAGCCATATGCTGGGTACATTAAGGAGTGGAACAGTGTCAGAGGCAGGAAAACATGGCGGCCAACAGCTCCTGGCAACCATCACGACTATCCTCTGGTCGGTGCTCTCAGTCTCTCCTACCAGCTGCAAGGGGAGCTTTGCCCTGCACCACCACCTAGGAGGAGACTGCTGGCAGCCCGGCCTCCCAAGAGACCCGGCCAAGCAGCAGAGAAGGGAGGGAACATAGGGCTCCACAAGGCAATTTACCAGTGCAACTACCCCGTGCACATAGTGCCAGTGCTCCCACGCAGACAGCCCTGGGCCAGCCCGCCTGAACTGAGCTCCACAGACACTGGGGAGAAAGGACTTCGTACAGCCCCACAGCCCAGGCCCCCCTCCTAGCATTCACCCAGCAAGGCCAGGGAAGACCAGGCTAGCCAATCTCAGGTAGAAACAAGCAGAATGGGACCCTTTGGGCCCTCTTCACATGCCATAAAGTAGCAAACTCTTCTGCCACTCTGCGGTGGTCTAAACTGCACCAGCCCTGAGCAGGGTTCCCTCTAGACCAGGGCTACTCAACTCTGGAAGCCCCGGGGGCCACAATGACACTCCCAGCACATGCTTACGTGTGGTTGCATGTACACACAAACATACATGCAAACAGATGCAAACCGCGTCTTCCACGCTGATGGGCATGAATACAAAGATTAAGGCTAGACTACAACACACTGGCCCCATTGAAGTCAGTTCAGCTGATATCAATAAAAATGCAACATTGACCCCATTTCCACCCATGTGACTGCACTTTGAATGTAACTAGTAAAACGCGCATCAACAGAAGACCTTTACACTGACTACTCTTTTGTTTTGATGGTTGGTTTGGTCCTGCCTTGGCCAGGGGGCGGGACTTGATGACCTTCTGAGGTCTCTTCCAGCTCCATGATTCTAGGACTCCCACTTGCGGGCCGTGTGTTGAGCCCCCGGAAACCCAAACTGCACCGTGGGCCACAAAGAAACGAGCCACAGTCCACATGCAGCCCGTGGGCCACGTGTTGAGTAGCCCTGGTCTAGGTTTTCCCACCCCTGAGCGGAATGAATGTTCTTATGTGCACCAATATGATGGGGATGTGACATCACAGAATTCATGTGCCAGGACTGTGGCCAAGGAGTTGGGAGGGGGCTCAGGGCTGGGCCAGAGGGTGGGAGGTGCAAAAGTGTGAGGGCTCTAGCTGGAGAGTAGGGCAGGGCTGGGGTTGAGGGGCTCAGGAATGGGACAGAGGGTTGGGGCTGCAGGGTCTGTTTGGGGGTGCTGAAGAGGGCTCCAGGTTTGGGGAGGGGCTTTGGGCTGGGAGCGTGGGCTTTGGGATGGGGCCAGGGATGAGAGCTTCAGAGCGAAGGAAGCCACTCGAGGCTGGGGGAAGCAGGGATGTTAAATTGCGGTTAACTGACTCGTTGAGGAGTCAATGGAATTTCCATCGACTAGTCGACAGGCACTTCCAGATTCCTCCCCCACCAGGGCTCTGTGCATTTCAAAGGAGGAATGCGGAACTCCACCTACAGCTAGGGGCCAGCAGGAAGTCCCAGCGGGGGCTCCTGTACATTTCAAAGCCATGCTGCATACAGCCTGGGCTCCACGGCTGCCCCTTTGAAAAGCAGAGGCCCGGGCTCAGCTGTGTGGTGGCTGCCCCTTTGAAGTATCCCTCCCCCCTTTGTTGCTGCTATCTCATAAATCGACTAGTCGACAGACTATCCGAAAAGCAAATGCTTACCAGATAGTCGACTAGTCCTTAACACCCCTAGGGGGAAGGTCAAGGTGGGGCAGAGGACCAGGGCTTAGGCTTACCTGGGCAGCTCTATGCTGGGGCCAGTACAGAAGGGTCCCTTTCCCCAAGACAAAGAAGTTTGGTGCTTGGGCCAGTGGGCATGGATGTCCCCCGCCGGCTACAGCAGCTTCAGGGCTTGGGGAGAGAGTTCTCCCCCCACTGCAGCCCAAACCACTGCACAGGGTTTAATGGGCAGCTGCACAGCCATGCAGCGTAGGGGGAATTTAGGCTGTGGGGCGGGGAGGCTACGCTGAAACAGAGCGCCCAGAGCCAGAGCTCTCCCACATCGGGGTCCTGGCCCTCCAGCTCCCTGAGTCCCATGTCAGTGCTGCCCCCTCCCCACTAGCCAGGCCCCCAGAAGCACTGTCATTCCCAGGCAGCTTGGTGAACACGGTACCTTTCGTTGGTGAACTTGGCCTGCTGAGACTCCTCTGCAGCAGTGCCCGCAGCACCGAGGGCCTGGAAGCACAAAGCGATGAGCCTCAGAGCCAGGGAGCAGCGCCCGCCCCGGCAGATGGGGCTCTGCAAGAGCGAGGACTGAAGCGAGGCCTGAGTCAGCAAGTCTCAGGGATGGGCCGCACTTTGGGAAGGAGTAAATTAACCTTCCAGCGCTTGAGGCAAAATCAGGCCAGCCCTAGGCTGGCTGGAGGGGAGGCTGGGACAAGGCAATCCGGGAATTAAGGCCACACAGGCCTAGCAGCACCATCAGACTTCAGGCACATCAGCCACAAGAGCTGCCTGAGCAGTGATGGATGCCAGGCCCTCTTGGCAGAGCCCTTTCCCCGAGGTTTGGTTGTGAAGCCCAGTGCTGCCCCAGGCGGGACGATGATCCCAGAACCCCCCGCCATGGCCTGGCTCCCGCTGTTCAGGTTTCCTGCCAGGGGTGTATCCCCACCACCCTCCTGGCAACCATCACGACTATCCTCTGGTCGGTGCTCTCAGTCTCTCCTACCAGCTGCAAGGGGAGCTTTGCCCTGCACCACCACCTAGGAGGAGACTGCTGGCAGCCCGGCCTCCCAAGAGACCCGGCCAAGCAGCAGAGAAGGGAGGGAACATAGGGCTCCACAAGGCAATTTACCAGTGCAACTACCCCGTGCACATAGTGCCAGTGCTCCCACGCAGACAGCCCTGGGCCAGCCCGCCTGAACTGAGCTCCACAGACACTGGGGAGAAAGGACTTCGTACAGCCCCACAGCCCAGGCCCCCCTCCTAGCATTCACCCAGCAAGGCCAGGGAAGACCAGGCTAGCCAATCTCAGGTAGAAACAAGCAGAATGGGACCCTTTGGGCCCTCTTCACATGCCATAAAGTAGCAAACTCTTCTGCCACTCTGCGGTGGTCTAAACTGCACCAGCCCTGAGCAGGGTTCCCTCTAGACCAGGGCTACTCAACTCTGGAAGCCCCGGGGGCCACAATGACACTCCCAGCACATGCTTACGTGTGGTTGCATGTACACACAAACATACATGCAAACAGATGCAAACCGCGTCTTCCACGCTGATGGGCATGAATACAAAGATTAAGGCTAGACTACAACACACTGGCCCCATTGAAGTCAGTTCAGCTGATATCAATAAAAATGCAACATTGACCCCATTTCCACCCATGTGACTGCACTTTGAATGTAACTAGTAAAACGCGCATCAACAGAAGACCTTTACACTGACTACTCTTTTGTTTTGATGGTTGGTTTGGTCCTGCCTTGGCCAGGGGGCGGGACTTGATGACCTTCTGAGGTCTCTTCCAGCTCCATGATTCTAGGACTCCCACTTGCGGGCCGTGTGTTGAGCCCCCGGAAACCCAAACTGCACCGTGGGCCACAAAGAAACGAGCCACAGTCCACATGCAGCCCGTGGGCCACGTGTTGAGTAGCCCTGGTCTAGGTTTTCCCACCCCTGAGCGGAATGAATGTTCTTATGTGCACCAATATGATGGGGATGTGACATCACAGAATTCATGTGCCAGGACTGTGGCCAAGGAGTTGGGAGGGGGCTCAGGGCTGGGCCAGAGGGTGGGAGGTGCAAAAGTGTGAGGGCTCTAGCTGGAGAGTAGGGCAGGGCTGGGGTTGAGGGGCTCAGGAATGGGACAGAGGGTTGGGGCTGCAGGGTCTGTTTGGGGGTGCTGAAGAGGGCTCCAGGTTTGGGGAGGGGCTTTGGGCTGGGAGCGTGGGCTTTGGGATGGGGCCAGGGATGAGAGCTTCAGAGCGAAGGAAGCCACTCGAGGCTGGGGGAAGCAGGGATGTTAAATTGCGGTTAACTGACTCGTTGAGGAGTCAATGGAATTTCCATCGACTAGTCGACAGGCACTTCCAGATTCCTCCCCCACCAGGGCTCTGTGCATTTCAAAGGAGGAATGCGGAACTCCACCTACAGCTAGGGGCCAGCAGGAAGTCCCAGCGGGGGCTCCTGTACATTTCAAAGCCATGCTGCATACAGCCTGGGCTCCACGGCTGCCCCTTTGAAAAGCAGAGGCCCGGGCTCAGCTGTGTGGTGGCTGCCCCTTTGAAGTATCCCTCCCCCCTTTGTTGCTGCTATCTCATAAATCGACTAGTCGACAGACTATCCGAAAAGCAAATGCTTACCAGATAGTCGACTAGTCCTTAACACCCCTAGGGGGAAGGTCAAGGTGGGGCAGAGGACCAGGGCTTAGGCTTACCTGGGCAGCTCTATGCTGGGGCCAGTACAGAAGGGTCCCTTTCCCCAAGACAAAGAAGTTTGGTGCTTGGGCCAGTGGGCATGGATGTCCCCCGCCGGCTACAGCAGCTTCAGGGCTTGGGGAGAGAGTTCTCCCCCCACTGCAGCCCAAACCACTGCACAGGGTTTAATGGGCAGCTGCACAGCCATGCAGCGTAGGGGGAATTTAGGCTGTGGGGCGGGGAGGCTACGCTGAAACAGAGCGCCCAGAGCCAGAGCTCTCCCACATCGGGGTCCTGGCCCTCCAGCTCCCTGAGTCCCATGTCAGTGCTGCCCCCTCCCCACTAGCCAGGCCCCCAGAAGCACTGTCATTCCCAGGCAGCTTGGTGAACACGGTACCTTTCGTTGGTGAACTTGGCCTGCTGAGACTCCTCTGCAGCAGTGCCCGCAGCACCGAGGGCCTGGAAGCACAAAGCGATGAGCCTCAGAGCCAGGGAGCAGCGCCCGCCCCGGCAGATGGGGCTCTGCAAGAGCGAGGACTGAAGCGAGGCCTGAGTCAGCAAGTCTCAGGGATGGGCCGCACTTTGGGAAGGAGTAAATTAACCTTCCAGCGCTTGAGGCAAAATCAGGCCAGCCCTAGGCTGGCTGGAGGGGAGGCTGGGACAAGGCAATCCGGGAATTAAGGCCACACAGGCCTAGCAGCACCATCAGACTTCAGGCACATCAGCCACAAGAGCTGCCTGAGCAGTGATGGATGCCAGGCCCTCTTGGCAGAGCCCTTTCCCCGAGGTTTGGTTGTGAAGCCCAGTGCTGCCCCAGGCGGGACGATGATCCCAGAACCCCCCGCCATGGCCTGGCTCCCGCTGTTCAGGTTTCCTGCCAGGGGTGTATCCCCACCACCGAGATGCAGCTCATTACCTTTGGCAACGCGCCAGCCGTCCCCACAAAGAGACACAGGAAGAACCTGCAAGAGCGACAGCGAGATGAGGATCGTGGCCTGAGACCTGGAGGCTGGGACTCTGAGGCCTAATCCTGAGCTTCGGTCCCAGCTTCCAGAAGCTGACTTGAGGCTGCCTCCCTGACCAGCGTGCGCCAGGGTGGGCGACAGGAACTCCTGACCAACGTGGGGCAGTGGTCCTGCCGGGGACGCAGCCAGCGGTGTCAGCCTCCTAAAGGGACTGGCTCAGGAGACAGAACTCACTTCTTGGCTTTGGCGCTGTTGGGATAATCCACCACCACGCCTCCCGTGAAGCCCGCCTTCATGGCCTGTGCCGTGATGAGCTCCAGCTGGCAGAGAGAACATGTCAGGAGCTGCCCTCCCAGGCTGACAATAGACAGCCAAGCACCCGAGGCCCAGCCCACACTAGCAGTGCAGCTCCCCATCAGGTCTAGCCAGCCTAGGGCTGCCCCCCCTTCAACAGCAAAGCCTGAATGCAACCCCAGGCAGCTCATCGCTCCTTCCCCACTCTCGCCGTTTCTCTGGTGCCTTCATGCTCTAGCTCTGAGCGACAGGCCTTAAGGGCAAGGGCAGCGGATGGATCTGCAGCACTGCCGAGCTCTGGTGCTACATACACACTAACTAGCTCTGAGCCCAGCTGCCTGCCCAAAGCCCCTTGAGCATCCAGCTTCCCCTGATACCAGCAAACAGACCACTGGGAAATCTGGCAAACAAAACAAAGGCTGTTCTGCTGGGCCCTTAACGCAGCCCACCCCCACACTCCAATGGCAGCTCTAAGCCCCGCAAGCAGCCCCACTCATCCCTCTCTGCAGCTCCTTTCCCCACCAGCCAGTCACCTGGTCAGAGTTTTCAGGGTAAAGCTGCAGGACAGCTCGGGATCCTCGGGCCTGCAGGAAACAAGGGGTTAAGAAGCCCTGTCCCAGACCAGGTTTTCCCCAGCACACAGTCTCCCAGCCCCAGCCAACATGACTGTAGCCAAGAGTTCTGGCTAATGGTGCACAGACATTCCTGCCCACCTCAGGCAGGGAACATCACCATGCTCTCACTAGCCATGTGGGAGAAGGAAGGGAAGCTGGATGGCTGAGGCAGCACACCACTTCCCAGAACAACGGGCCAAGAACATTGATAGTCCCAGGGTAACTGCACCTGCTTCCCCCACTGAGATCCAGCGTGGGCCCCCAAAGTTCCCCGGTCTCTCTCCCTCCTGACTACAGTTTTTCCAGGCTGCACAGTCCACTGCCTACACAATTCTAGTCCCAGCAAGCCAGCTGCCTAATCAGGCCAGTACCTGAGCTTTGCTTTCACTCCAAAGGCTGTGAACAGCAGATACAAGTCATGCCCAGCCCTTTCTAAGTCAGCGCATTTATTGACATACCGAGAAAACACATTAAACAAAAGAACAGGCTACAACTCCCCAACTCCAGCCTTTGGGATGACAGCCTTAGGAGACAGGCCTTCTCAACAGGTTTGCACTGTGGTTACAAATTCACAACTGTCTCACCTTCCAAACCAGAGCTGAGACTGGGCAGTTCAGCTGCTTTCTCTCTCAGTCTGGCCTTTTGGGAACAGTTTTGCATAATTGACAGAGGGAAATTTGTATCAATCTCTTCCTGGATATTCCCCAGGAAATCCACTTCACACTTATTGTCCCCAAGGCCCATTCCTGTCTGGCACGCTTTCAGTACCATCCTGGAACTCCCAGGCCCCCCACGTCACATCTGATCACGTACAGTCCCACCCACAAAACAACACATACTTACTACAATACGGACATTGCAGGACATGACCAGGTCCGTCACTCACCACTTACCAAGGCAGAATAGAGAGTTGAGAAGAATCGATACAGGCGTTTTGGGGGACTATGTGTCTTCTTGTCAGCATTACAGAGCCACTGCACTGCAGAAATACTGAAAGAAAATGTGTGAGCTAAGGGATACTGAGCCATTCTGAGAGTTATAGGTCATTTTCCAGCAGCTGCTCCCAAGAATGGCAAGAAGCACCCTCTAATTCAAAGCCTTTCCAAATGTCCACAGCCTGCCATGTAATGCAGGAATCACTCTGCACCAGGGTAGAGCCAGTGAATATGGGCAGGTGTGCTGGTATGGTCTGGCTAGGCAAAGTCTCTGGGAACTAAGAGAAGAAAACAAAGAGCAACGTCTCACCTGACACATCCATCAAACATGCCTGGCCTGAAGGGAATCCCCTGCCCCACATCTGCAAGGAGAAGGTCTCCTTCCACCTCTCTCTCCACAGCAACATCTGCACAGCACAAAACACAGCTCGGGAAGTTGGCCACCAATCTTCCAATTAGTATCAAGGGCTGCATTTCAGATATTTCCAGCCCTCCTGCTGTCTCATATACTCAGCGTACTGGGTCATGGAGGGGAAACGGATCTGCTTACCCAGCATGGCAGAACTGATATCCATCCCAACCCAGTGATGTCCCTCTTCAGAGATGTAGTCTCCACTCAAACCAGAGCCACAGCTAAAACCAGAAGAACAGGACTTAGCAATGTGCATCAATCCCAATATCCTGCCCTTTGGCTGTCAGTGTGCAAGCCCTTTCAGGACAATGATCTTCTTTTTCCTCTCTAAGCCACAAGAGTGGAAGTTAAGAACTTGGACACCACATTCTCCTAGATACTTGAGCCGTGGTCATTATCAAGTATCAGAGGGATAGCTGTGTTTGTTTTTGCAGATTCAGATTATGAGAAGTCCTTGTGGCACTTTACAGACTAACAGATTTAGTGGAGCATAAGCTTTCGTGTGCAAAGACCCATTTCATCAGATGCATGTGACATGCACCTGACCAAGTGAGTCTTTGCCCACGAAAGCTTATGCTCCAATAAATCTGTTAGTCTAGAAGGTGCCACAAGGACTCCTCGTTGGTTATCATCATGGTATCCATGGAACTCAGGAGATGCATCGCTCTGATTTGCAGAACGAACCTAAACTCCTTACACTGCCTATTCAGAACTTCATCCTTCTCTAACTACACCTGACTGCCAGAGAAGTTAGGTGGGAGGAGGGAAGCAGTATCTATACACTTCTATATGGCTCACATGCAGGGTCTTACCCAACATCCAGGAGGAAACATGGCCAATCGTCTGGCAAGCCCAAAAGTTCCACGGCCCGCTCTGACATCTGCGTCTGGATCTCAATCATTCGAGAACTGAGAAGGAAAGAATCCTCCTTTAATCATGTGAAAGCAAGAATGAGGGATACAAGCAGCTTCTGCTATCAAGAAAAAAAGTCACAGAATGGTGAACACCAGCTCAAATCTTTGTCATTCAGGAAGACAATGGAGTATTTGACAGCACAAGAAACGGCCTAAAATAGGAACCTGCTTTGGGGTGGGAATTCCTGCACTCCTTTGGGGGCCCATGGGCCCTGCATGAATTGATTTGGGCTTTTTTAAGCTGCCTGATCTTTAATACTATTGGATTCAGACATTTCTTTGACTGCAACTGGTCAATACAACTCTCCACACAATTACTAAGACAAAACTCAGGCACCCAACGCTGTCTGCTCTACTATTCCTCAGGAGTGATTAGCTAAGAGCACAGTGGCAGATCTTAAACTGCACATTATGCTCATTGGGGAGACCTGTGCAAACCCCAGTACAACTGGAGAACTCTTGTTGGGAACAGACCCATCTGCTCAGGAGTGTGCAACACACCCATTAACATCAATAGAGCAACTGTTCCAGAGCGCGGCTTGAGCTCTTCCGCCTTGTCATTCGGGTCAGACTGCACTTCCAGGGGCACAGCGATGTGTTCTGGGAGCACAGGGCAGCCTGATGTTGTGGGGATCAGCACAAGGATGGGACTAGACCTATCTCCCCCTGGTCCACTGGGTCTGGCCGTGTACACAGGAGGGAGGGAGCTGGCAGGGGAGAGGCCCTTACTTCTGGGAGTATTTCTGGGCTTCGGCCGCATCGTAGAACTACAAGAAAAACAAACAGCGTGAAATGTGGGGAATGAGCCCACTGAGCCCCCCAGAACTCACCCCAAACCCTGCCCCCACACTGCACCCTAACCCCATTCCCTTAACCTCGCCCCCAGAACCCCACCCTCACCCCGCCCTGAACCCCACCCCAACACTGCCCCCTAATCCCTCAAACCCCGCCTTAACCCCTAACCCTGTCTCCAAAACCCCACTAAAAAGAAATAAAAAGGGCAACTAAAATGATTAGGGGTTTGGAACGGGTCCCATATGAAGAGAGGTTAAAGCAACTGGGACTTTTCAGTTTAGAAAAGAGGAGACTGAGGGGGGATATGATAGAGGTCTATAAAATCATGAGTGGTGTGGAGAGGGTGAATAAAGAAAAATTATTCGTTCCCATAATAGAAGAACTAGAGGACACCAAATGAAATTAATGGGTAGCAGGTTTAAAACTAATAAAAGAAAGTTCTTCTTCACACAGCGTGT